GTCATTGTAGTTGTTCTTTTAAAGTTGTAGCAACGTTTCAGCAGAATCTCATCTGCCATCATCAGGCTTCTGTATTGTGACGGACACAATACAGAAGCCTGATGATGGCAGATGAGATTCTGCTGAAACGTTAGTAATGAACATTTTTCCACACTTAAAATCTTTATATTTTTAAAATAGGATTTCAAACAACCCACAGAAAATATTCTTACAATTAAATTCAAAATCTTATTTCAAATCCATTGACCCCTTAATCCATTTATAATTTTCCAAAATCAATGTTCACTTTTTGACAGCTTATTCCAAAATAAGGTTAAGTCCTTAAATGCATAAAACCTATTTCACCAAGGATTGAAAGAAATTCAAATTGTGTAATAAAACTTACCTTTCTGAAGGTTCTTAATATCCAAAAAGCAATTTCCGAAAATAATTAATTATGCAAACCTGGTATTCTTCTAAAGTTCTTAAACTGTTGCTTGGACAGAGATTACTTTCCTTTAACTCCCAGAGCAATAAAAATCTGCCAAAGACTTATGGTTTCCTTTCAGGGAGCCACTCCATGGAGCACCGTGAACTGTCCCAGGTCCTCTCCTTATCTGGAGGGGAATTCTGATCCATTTATTGGTTCCTTGTTCTGTCACCGTTATTGGCTCTGCTCTCTATGGAGTTCACCATTAGTCCACCATTGCTTCCTTTGAAATCCTCTGCATCCCCAATCTTTAACAGCATAAGCATTTGAATCTTAGACATTTGCCAAGATCAGTCCTTTTCAATATATGTTCTTTTTTTCTGTGTGCAAGCTGTTTTAAGTAAGAATTCTGAAAATCGTGTCTTAGAAAAAGCAGAAGTCTATTGGCAAAACCATGAACAATATTAACAGATACAGTCAGAGACTCTGGCTTGTTCATGGAGGGTGAATAAACAGGGTCAAAATGAAAAGTTTGGCCAATCAAACCTCTGGCCCTTTTAACATGTGTGCGATGGATATGATGCACATTTTGACACTCCATTCCATGGATACTCCTGAGAGATCCAATGGATAAAGTGTTGGACTGTGAGACGCAAGTACACATGCATCTTCAGCTATGGAAGCTTATTGGGTAATTTTGAGCCAGTCACTCTCAGCCCATCTTATTTACAGGATTCTTATGATTGCTCTTTGAGGAAAAATTAGAGAAGGGATGCTATAATTGTCACTGTAAGCTTCTCTTGGTAAAGTGGGGTATACATTTGGCAAATACATGAAATAAATAAATGTGTCTGATCAGCCATCTCTCAGGGTGCTTTGAACTGGATTCTTGCACGGGGCAGAACTCACTACCTGATCCTGTTGTCACCTGCTCAAACCCCCACTCCTTTACCCTCAAACTAACCTCACCCCATTCCTAAGAGGTCTGTAAGGGGTGTGCATAAGCACACAATTGTGCCTACCATCCCTGTCCTATTGTCCCCAATTATCAGTTCCTATTTCTTATATTTAAATTTATGTTTATTCTTATTTCTATTGTATAGCTTTTGACAAAATAGTAAATAAATAAACAAACAAATAAATAAATAAATAAATAAAAATTGGATTCTGTAGCTTTTCAAATTCTAAAGTTCTACTCTTTTAAAAAAGAAAGCATTTGCTTATTTCCAGAATGTTTCCATGGTGCTGTTCTGTTAATGAGCCATTCTAGCTTTTGCAGTCTTTTAGAAAATTAAGTTATCCATACCAATCATTGGAAGGCATGGTACTTCTGAAACACACAGAGTGCATAATCATACTCTAATCTCTGTGTGTAACTGACTGGTTCTCACAGATGCTGCGGTTTAGGTATTTAACTATCCTGTGGATGTTCTTTGTTTTGCAAGTAAAACAATATTGAAATAGAAGGCACTTGGTCCTGCCTGCTAGCTGTCTTTATTGCAGATACTATTTTTCTTTATTTGGCAACTGGCACCTGAAACAGACTTAAACAGAATGTGAAAAATAAAACCTATTTCATGTAATATATCTTTCTTTCCAAGTTGTCATTTATTTGATTGTGTTTCTCTTGACAATCCTATGTAAACACACTGGGATTCCCAGGCACAGCATGAATATTCATTTTAGCAATTCTTGGGAAATATTGAATGTATTCTAAAAGATTATCATGATGTATATTTCTTTTAGTGTCAAATGTTCTTCCCAAGATCTTATATTTACTTTTAGAGGAAACTGCTGATCAGAAATCTGATGGGTATTTATCTGATAAATACCCTTTCTGTTCCCCAGTGAAAAATTTGTTTTCCATTTTTCTTGTCCACAAGTTATGCTTCATGAAGAAAAGATAAATTAATGAAATATATGTACTTGATTAGAAGATGATCCTGAATTTAAAACAATTATTTTGAAGAAATTGTGAAGAGAGGAATTATTGAGTCTACCATCTGCACCACTGGTTTGGTTCTGCAACCCAACAGGACAAACACAGACTTCAGAGGATAATTAGGACTGCAGAAAAAACAATTACCACCCACCTGCCTTCAATCAATGACCTGTATACTGCACGAGTCAAAAAGAGGGCTGTGAAAATATTTACAGACCCCTCACATCCTGGACATAACTGTTTCAATTCCTTCCCTCAAAACAATGCTATAGAGCACTGCACACCAGAACAACTAGACACATTTTTCCCGAAAGCCATCACTCTGCAAAACAAATAATTTCCTCAACACTGTCCAACTATTTACAAAGTCTGCACTACTATTACTGTTAATCTTCTCACCACTCCTTATCACCATCCCCTCCCACTTGTGATTGTAGGACTGTAACTTTGTCGCTTGTATCCTTACGATTTATATTGACTGTTTCCTAGTATGATTTGATTGTTGATTGTACCCTATGACTACCATTAAGTGTTGTACATTATGATTCTTGATTCTTAACGAATGTATCTTTTCTTTATGTATACTGAGAGTATTTACACCAAGATAAATTCCTTGTGTGTCCAATCATACTTGGCCAATAAAAGTATTCTATTCTATTCTATTCTATTCTATTCTATTCTATTCTTGATAAAAGAAATAATACAATACCAACTTTATATTGTTGTCCATCCAACATTCTACTGAAATATTTTTCTCCTCCCATAATGATTGTGTGTAATGCTTTTGTGTGTTAATGGCATATATATCCAGAAGCCACACTTTTAAGAAAAGGCAGAGCTAAGATAAAGAATGTCATTAATTCTATTAGTAGCTTCTGATTAAAATCAACTGGTTGTAAAATAGCCAGTTAATAATAACCTTCAAAGGTTATTGAACCTTATTATTAATAACCTTTTGTAAAGTTAACTGTTTACTCCCAAGCAGTAGCTAATCTTAAAGGGAAGTGCTTTTATGGCTATCTATACCCATTTGCATTTTTCAGCTCTCCCCATATTTTTAACAGACTGATATTATTCCCTGCTGTTCTTCTCAATGTAAGATGATGAGCCTACACCCATAAATTTTCTAGTAATTATAAGTGGGGAGGCTTGGCTTACTCTTACATAAATATGGTATTTATGTAAGAGTAAGCCAGGGAACATGAAAAAAGTTTTTAGGCAAAAAAAAACCTTAACTTGATGGTTTGTCAGTGGATAAAACCTTTTAGAAATAATGTGTTATCAGCCCTGTGCTATTATGTAGTTGAGTCTACCAATGCTCATACTTTGTATTCACTTTGTTATTAATTCATTTTGTTCACATCTTTAATTCAGACTTTAATTCAAAGCCTTAAGGCTTTCATAACTTTCTCAAATGGAACCTTGCACTTAGATCTAGTACTATTGGATGCAGTTGAAATGTTAATATAACTGGCTAAGTTACCTCTATATGTTTTTTATGTGTGTGTTACAGCTGGGGCCACATATATCTTTGGGAAAAGTGGAGGCCTCATCCTGTATACTTGGCCAGCAAATGACAGACCCAGTACAAGGACAGACCGCCTAGCTGTTGGGTTCAGCACAACAGTAAAAGATGGCATCTTGGTACGGATTGACAGCGCCCCTGGCCTTACTGACTTTTTGCAACTTCATATAGTAAGTACGGATCTTTTATCCTTCATTTTGCCTTCAGTTTTAATGGCTACACAAATTCATTTAAGAAAAAATAAATAAAACAAAAACAAAATCCTACTTATAAGTACATATTTCTAACAAGTATAATCTTAAACAACAATTAAGAAATTGTTTTTTCCATGGTGTACATAAAATGTATTCTGGATGGGACTAAAGATAATCTAAGCCTTTAAGTCTGCTTGTTTAATATTGTCTTAATATAAGTAACTATAGTTTTCATTGGACAAATATAAATTTATACTTTTGTAGGTTCAGACCAGTGTTTCTCAAACTCTTTGCCCATAGCACTGTTTGACTTTGGTTTTTTTTCTCCCTGGACCTCCTCTGTCTTGGTCCATTACTAGATATGGATATAAGGCAGTAACTGGTGCATTTTCTGGCATCAACAAAACATCATTTACAGTTTTTTCCTTGTGTAATCCCAAATATTGAGGAAAAAATTACCAGCATCTCCTTGCTACCTATTTAACATGTCATCCTTACTACTTCTATGCTTGATTTCCTAAAAAAGCTTGAATGCATGCAATTATTTTAAAATTCCCCAAATTAAAACCCATAGTAACTAAGATTCAAGATACTATATTACTTAGTATAAACATTTAATGTATACATGGGTGTTCTTGAATATTTCAGGCATGGTTCCTGAAATATATAGAAATACACAGCTCCAACAGTTCAAGTAAATAGTTTCAAAATCTCTTTTTAGATTATTGTGCTATGCTATGCTTATGTTTGTTCCTCATCCATGTTTGGAAACTGCACTTTTTTCTAAAGTGTGGCCAGATTGGTTTTCATAATAAGATTACAACGGTGCTATATTGCACTGTTTTTCAGTCTTAATTCAGTTGCATTTTTTTACTTACTAAATGATTTGGGGCATATAGAGAACCATATCTTTGTTCATGTTATGAGGATGATTGAAGGACCATTATCTTAAGAAACTAAGTTGTTGAGTATTTAGGACAGGACTTTTCCTAATATTAACACTGTGATTATGGGACTGTCACTTGACAAGAGTGAAATTGGATCCTTCGATATAGGGCATTGTGTAGAATCCTATGAGGTTTTTCAAATTGTAAGTTTTTTAATACCACATCGTTTAATAACTCTCTAATTGTAATTCCATTCTCAAATTTAATTGAATGAATTGTTGTCTTTGGTGAAGAAAGCAATTTTCAAGTTTAATGAAATAAATACAAAAGAATGTTATCCTACTGGAATCTCATTTGATTTGCTTCCTATCAGTAATACATGATTTTCTATAATCAGTTTTACAACATTGGAACTGTTATCTTGGTTTTCATGTCTTTGTCCTTATAAATGAATTTTAGTCTACATTACCCAGCCACTTCCCTTTTTTGCAATAACAATATAACCTTTATGGATTTGCTTCAGTTTATTCTTTATTGCTGTATTACTATTTAAAACATCTCTGTTTATGGTTATGTTTTTTTTTAAAACTCAGATTGAGATGCCTATGTCATTTGGACATCAACAATCTCATACATGAAGATACATACTAATACACAGATATAGTCTCTCAAACACATAAAAACATACAATATCATTCCCTCCTCCTTTCCAAGCTAAACTGAATTTAATGTAACAGCTGTCGAATACCTTTTTTATCCCAAGCCATCTCTGTCTCCAGAAGTTTTGAACTAACCCAAAGGGCTTCTATACATGCATTCACTCTATTCCACTCCACTGCACCTTAACTGCAGGAACGTGTGATCTACAAGAAGCAAAAATTGCTCACAGACAATAAAACAAGGATTTAGCAGGACATCTGTGGCTTATGAAAGAGATTGTACTGCTGACATCTAAGTAGAAACAAACATTTTTCCTGGTTTTTAGAGCTTTATATTTCTGCCTATCATCTAAGTATTTATTGAAAGAGTATTGAAATATTCTTTCAATATTTGTAAAGGAAATAGATGGGTCCTGATTCCGCAAAAGGTGTTAAGGACTGAATCTGGTAAGATTTTTTATCCTTTTATCCAGAAATTCCCAGTTTATAGCAAATGGTTATATAAAGAAATCTGTGTGACGGCAAGCCTTACTTGAGAAAGATTGGAAGAAAAAGCCCAGAATTTAAATTCTGAAGCATAATCCAATAAAGGGCTTTAACTTGTCTTCACTGCACAGAAGTAAACTATGTCCATAGTAGCTTCCTGATCCACAAATTTAGTCAGTTTGTCAAAGAAGGCAATAAATTTTTCCTGACATCATTTGTTTTTGACACATCCATGTTGGCTTCTAGAAATAGTTTTACTCTTTTCAAGGTGCTTGCAAATCTGCTGTTTGATTTTCTTTTCCAAGATTCCCAGATATTGATGTCAGGCTGATCAGTCAGTAATTTCCTGGATTCCTTCCCCCCCACTTTTTTTTTTTTTTAAGATTGGAACTACATCTGTTCATTTCCAGTCTGCTAGTAGTTCAGGAGGTTTAAAAGATTATGCTCAGTGCAGGGGTGGGCTTCAAAAATGTTAGCAACAGGTTCTCTGCCTGGTTGCTGGGTCAGCATGGCCATGGTGGGCGTGGCCTAGTCAGCCTCCTGCATCATGGCAGGTGGCGTTTTTGCCTTCTCCTGTGCACCGGAGGCTTTCCTGAGCCTCTGGGAGGGTGAAAATGGCCTCCCCGGGCTCCACAGGCTCTCTGTAAGCTAGAAACAGGCTGGTTTCCAGCCTTCCCAAACTTCTGGGAGGCCCATTTTTTGTCGTCCTGAAGCCTCTGTGTGTGCTCTGCATCCAAAATAGGCTGCGTGGGGAGGGGAGGGGTGGGCAGCTCCAGCCAGGAGTGGGATTTGGGGGTTGTCCAAACTGTTCAGAATCTTAGCTAGGGGTTCTCTTAAATGCCTGCAAACCCCCAGCAGCCCACTCCTGGCTCAGTGGCTCTGAGATCACATCTGCCAGCTCCTTCAGAAACTTGGCATGTAATCAATTTGGTACTAGCAATTTGAATTCATCTAGACTAAATTGGTGACTTGTACAGTTAGGACATTGGGTTGGAGATTAGCAAGCCTGCGTTTGGAACCTGAGTGTTGCTGTGGGACCAGACATGACCAACTGGGTGTCCTCAGGGCAATAGTGATGTAAACAGCTAATCCTTTCATCCCGGAAGTGCCTTGGTGCTTCTGACAACAGTGCAATGCATTCTAGAGTGTATAGGTGTTATTTTACCATATTCTTACCTTTTTTGACATGTATACCTATTACATATTCTAAAGCAAACTGTCAAACTCAAGGCCAGTGGGCTGGATCTGGCCTGTGGGGTGCTTAAATCCGTCCCATAGGGCTGGTCTGAAAATATCAAAGGAACGCCTGCAGTGCCTCTGGTGCCTAAAATGGGCTGCATGTGGACTCCCTGCACCTTGTTTTCATTCTCCATGGCCTCCTGTATCACTCTGCTGGCTGAAAAATGGGCCGAAAATGGGTGTGAAAATAGCCCCAAAACGGCCTAAAATAGGGCTTGAAAATGGGATAAAAATGGGGCAAAAATGGCCAGCAGAGTGCTGCAGGAGGCCATGGAGGGTGGAGGGTGAAAACGAGACACAGGGATGGGCCTGGGTGTGGACCCCCACACCCCATTTTGGGCAGCAGGGTGCTTCAGAAGGCATCCATCCCACCCCTCCTGCTGTCCCCCCTCGCTGGCCCATGGAGGCTAACTACAGTGCTGATCTGGCCCTAGAAGAAATACAGTTCTACATTATTGCTTTTGATAGGTAGGACTATTTTTTTTTCTTTTGCGTAAAAATAGATGCGAAGAATGAATTAAGCAAGCTGTGCTGTCACATTCTTGACATCTCTGTTAAGCGGACCAATTGTTTCCTTGATTTCTTTCCCCCTTGTTGTTTACATGTTGAGCATGGATACATGGTGATCATAGCACATGGAATGAACCCAATTTTCTTGGTTTGTGTGATATCATTAACTATAATCTAACCACATAAACTGAGTTCATGCAGCATATTATGATAAGTCTTTTGAATTCTACAGAATTTCTTTGTTGAAGGATAGAGATTGGTTGACTCCATATGCATAAATGAAAAAAGAGGAAAGAAAAACTCACAAAACAATAGAAAAAACATAGGAAATCAAATGTGTTAATTAGAATAGATCAAACAGTTTTCTAATCAGTATTCCCAGTGGGAAAATTCTGTTTGTATACAGTAACAATTTATCTTGTGTTAGTGTTATTTTTGAAATATAACTCAGCTTGAATATATACAAAAGCCAATAAGTCTTTCAAAGCATAATTAATATGTTAAATAACTTTTGTCCAAAAGAAACCATGTATAAAATAAAACTAAATTGTGCAGATCATAATGCAATTATAATTATTATAATTATAGTATATTTGAGTACATTGTGTTAATTGCAATTTTTAATATAATTCAAAACTAACATTATGAAAATTACAATATGTCTAAGAAAGTGTGACATATGGATGCTAAAAATGGCCTTCTAGTGATGTTCAGGTACCAGACTCTTCAATTCCTTATTTCATTTCTCTTATGCTTCAGTACATTCTGACAACTTTTAATAAATAGTCATGATACATTGGCTATAATGGCAAATTTCCAATATGTAGGACTTGATAATTTTTGACCTTAGCAAAAAGGATCATTTTAAAACCTCCTTCTCTGACAATGAAACATTTCTGAACAAAAAGACAGAAAGTGGGAAACTTTCTCAGAAAAACAATTAAAATAATTCATGATAATTATTTAAAAAGTTTAAATAAATAAAATAATACTTTATAATATAAATTATCTGTGTTGAGCCTATATTTTTTAAAGTAATAATGTTATCAAACATGCTCAGTTTAAATGGATTCATCGGTGCTGAAAATCTAAAATATTCTCAACCTGACATCTTTGTTTCTCTGGATACCTTTGAAATTGACCAAAATGAATATAATAGTTTTATGATAAATCTTGCTTGTATAAAGCCTTCCTA